TTTTTTTTGTTTGCACCTAGTATCGTTCGCATTTTCTCAGCTATTTTGACTTATGCTCTTATACGAATTTACTCGGTAGAAATTTTCTTGTACAGATGTATGCTTATAGCTATGTATTTATGTATGTGCATTTGTATAATAGCATTTCAATAATTTAATAAGCGTTCTTATTACAGCCGCGTAGGCGTTAAATGCCAGTAATTTCTTTCTTCATTTCTGCACTTTGCTCAGCTTTCGTATATTTTACCCACATTATTCTGCAATTACTGAAATAAATTAGACGAGTTTTTTTGTTTTTGAAATTTATTTTTAAAGCTCTTTAATTTAGCTTAAATAACTACAAATGGAATATGTGAAAGAACAGAACGGAAAAGGGCCATTTTTGAAAATCTATTCACAATAACTAACAGGTCCTCCTTAAAATGCAGATTAGCTTTCGTTCGTTCGTTCAGCATTTACCTTTCAATTCTGGTACTGGAAAATGATAACAAAGGTTTACAAAAAAAAAGTTTGCGCATATTAAACGAAACCTAATGTTATTCGATTATTAGATTCGCAGAACCCGAATCCGAGGTCCGTTAACCTCCATAATATCAGCTTCGAGGTCATTTGAGGGTCAAATAGGACAAAAAATTTATTCAATAAAAAAAATTGTTTTTGTTGCCGCTGAAACCGAATATGGGGGTCCCTTGATTCATCAAGGTCATCTAGAGGTCATGCCAAGGTCCTCCCAAGGTAGGTCAAATTCAGAAGAATTTTATTAAATTTTCAGGTTTATTCAATGAATTTTTTCCTATTTGACCTTCAAATCACCACGAACCTGAAGTGGTGGAGACTAGCGAAGCATGTCGAATAACAAAGGGATATATAGGTTTGGTTTAATATGCATACACTTTTTTTTTTGTTTGTAAACCTGAGTAATTAACTGACGGATGTGGATTAGCTCTCAACTATGATGACAGCCATAAGTAGGTAACGATCTCGAGTTAATTTAGGAACTTAATATATATATTTTTTGGTGATTGAAAAAAAAAATAGTTTCTTTGTTTCGGTTTGCCTCCAAAAATTCAACAGTCATTTGGACTACTCGAAAGCGCATGCTTTTGTCAACATACATATGTACATAGTTATGTTTATTAAGAAATTTGCAAAGTCATAAAAAAGAGCACAAACAATAAAACATGTTATTGGATTGCTGATTTAGCTCTATGCAATTTATGTATGTATATCATCAATAGGGTACATAAGATAATAGTTTATTGATAGCTCTCTTCGTTTTAACGTTCTGCGGCATACATAAGTATGTACACTAGGGTGGCCCAAAAATGCATGTGAAAAAGTAAAGTCGGAATTTTTATGCTCTCACCCCCTAGAATTGTTCTACACCGAAAAAAGCATAACCTCAATTTTTTATTTTGAAACCAAAAAAATATTTAGTGGTCGCGCGAAGTTTTCCATGTATTTTATATGAAAAAAACAACTTTTCGCAGAAATGGTATAGAATTCTTGAAAATCAATTCTTGAAAATAATAATTACCGAATGTCAGAAAATGCAATGGGTATAAATAAAAAATCATTAGTATTAAAAACTGGTTAAATACTTAAACAATTGGGTATTGTTACTGGAAGTCTCCTGAAGAGAACCAGAGCTTCCCAATCGAAAAATATTAGTTTTAAAGAATTCTATGCCATTTCTACGAAAAGTTTTTTTTTCATATACATAAAATACATGGCAAACTTTTAGCGCCTTGACCGACCTCTAAATATTTTTTTATTTCAAAATAAAAAAATAGTGGTACATTTTTCTCGGTATAGAATAATCACAGGGTGTGAGAGCATAAAAATTCCGACTCCACTTCCTCCCCCACATGCATTTTGGGACCACCCTAATGTACATACATATCGTTGGAAAAATGTAAGGCTCTAAGTAAGTGTGTGTTTGTGTTCAATCAGATGAACTTCATGAACTAATAACAAAAACCGAGCTTGTTACCGGTTTCAAAGAGGGTATTCATGTGTTTTTTTTTTGTTTGTTTAGAAATAAGACCGCACCACTAGTGCGCCGCAGTTGGCGGCTGGTTTTATACATAAGATCTTAATGTTATGCTTTTTTCAGTTTTTTTTTGTTTATGTCTTTGCCTTAATAAATTTATCAGGCTGATCTCTTGTACATATGCACACACATAACATATATCTATATGCACGTCATTAAAATTAAATATGTTAAATTCATGAATATATAATGGACATTTAGGTTAGGTAGCTCTTAGGCGGTTTAAGCACCAAACGAGAATGTAGTTCGTCGTTCAAGCCGCTCGCTAAGATAGCGGATGGAATGGCAAAGAGTTTGTGAAGAAATTATCTGCGAGTCATCGATTGAACGGGATGGCAGACGGGTGCGTACAAAGCGTTTGTTGCTTCGGTTATTACCTATTTGATTCAGCTTAAGATATTGTTTTCTGTAAGAAATCAAACAGTGTTGGATTAAATAAATAATTTTATTGCAATAGAAAAAATACTTATTGCAATTTTGTGGTGACTTTAAAAGAAATAAAATGTCGTGCATTAAATATGTACATCAAAGTATACTTACTGGAGCGTGAAAAATTCTAAGTTGTCGAAAAAAATGTCCAAAAAATTGAAGTGCATACAATATTTTTATGTAACTTGGAAATAAAGTGAGTTTGTTTTTAAGATTATTCAATTAATACTTTTAATTATTTTTTCATTCATTTGTGAAACAAGGAAAACTTTATTGAATAAAATAAATAAAAATCTTATTTAGTCAAAATTGAATTCAAAACTTTCGTGAAACCGACTGGTGAATTATAACAGCTTAAAAAACTAAGGGACTTAATGCACTTTTCGCTTTTTACACATTTTTCGCTAAATACACCTGTCTACAGTTGCAAGTATTCGTGTAATGAAGAAGAAGCAGTTGAGACAAAAATTTAGCAAAAATAGAACAAAAGCAAATCTGAACAAACTAAGCAGAAAAAGAAAGGAAAGATAAACAATTGCCTCAATAGTGTACTAAGCACGTAGAAATAAATTCTTTTTTTTTTGTATTGATATTTTTTGTTTTAGAAAAAATTGCTTACCTGTTGCTTAGAAGATATTCCAGGCAGTGCAGTGTATGCATGTACATTCATAGTACTAAAATTGGTATACATTGTGCAAAGGACACGAGCACAAAAAGTGGCAACTGAGTGTTATATGTACATATTTATGTATATTATGTATTAGCGTGGGCCGAAAATCCGCTTTTTTAGAATTCTGATTGGTAATAGCCAAAATATGGTTCATTATGCTTTAAGAAAAATCGGTGTGAAATTTGGATTTTTTTGGTCAATATCCTAGGCTCGCCCAACTCCAACAAAGTTCACGTACTAAAAAAAAATTTTGTGAGCTATCTTCTATTATCTACAAAAAAGGTCCATATACCAAATTATGTAGGACTAATACTTTCGAAGATTATTGCAATTTTATTAAAAAAAATTATTAACTAATTTATTTATTAACTTTTATTTTTTGAGCATATTGAACTTTGATGGACTTGGGCGAGCCTAGGATATTGACCAAAAAGTTCCAAATTTCACACAGATTTTTCTTAAAGCATAGGAACCATATTTTTGCTATTACCAATCAAAATTCAAAAAAAAGCGGATTTTCGGCCCACCCTATTATGTATATATAGAAATATTTAAGAATTCCTTAAAATACTATTCGCGCTTCACACGCATTTTGCTAAGTATTTGCTCGAGTTTCTTCAAATTGTTTGAGCCTTGATGTTTTCCCATGCGCAGAAAATCCTACAACTATGAACAACCATTCCTGCTGTGCGGCGACCGCTGTTAGAAAACATTGTTTTTGATCGTATCGGAATCGAGCCGGGATCCTACTGGACGCTAGTGCACACCTATAAACACGGCTGCCGGAAAAAATTGATTTTAAACCAAGCGCATCATCAAATCTGGTCTATTTATTATTCTCACGAGAATACATATTTTGACTCAAATCGGCGTCACTTGATATGGATGGAAAATATCGATCTCTTATACAGTATCGAAAACAAATTTAAATTCGAAGATAATCTTAATTCAATATATTTTTTAAGCCACAAAGTCCAACAGACTTCCGTTAGGATTATGATAAGAAAAAATTATATCAACCCCTAGCTTTTACAGCATTCTTATTCATTGCCTCAGCGGCATTTAATGGGACGCAATGAAATTTTTAGCTCCATGGTTCGGATTCTATATGTAAAAAATAGCTTCCACGTGTTGAGTGAGTTTAACTTGCACTACATACTGCGTGCATATGTATGTATGCATGTAAGTCATGCTTCGAATCTAACAAGTTGTATTCGTATATATACATGCACACACTCTCTTAGTAAATGAGTAGTAGGAAAAGAGTGTGAGGATATAGGAATGCACATCAAGGTCTATAAATGATTTATTGGTAAAATGCTTATGTGTATGTACAAGTATGTATACATATTTGCAAGTGGGCGCATTCCGCATTACTCATACGCTCCGTCTTACCATCGCCAAGCCATTCCGTATGAGAATTGCGTGCGTAGTCAATTAGGCGTGAAACCAGCTAGACAGTGCATTTCATTAGAACCAACAAGTGTTTCTGAGTGTACTGAAACCATAAAGGCTGACTTGGCTATATTTGTATGTATGCAACCATAATGACTTGGATATAAATCAGTACTATATATTCACTTATATACCCTTATGTACAACTGCCTGCAATGAAAGCAAAACGAAAATCACTCGTGCATTCCTCAAACTTACTCACCAAATACATACATACAATAAACATACATATGTAGACATATGCTCGAATCGCTTATCGCAACCATCGCGAAAAGAAAACTCCACTCAACTGTTGCAGCGCGCTGCCAGCAACAGGCTGCAGAAGTTGGAAAGTTAAAAAGTAAGACAAAAAAAAAGTAAAAAAAAACTTCAAAAAGGCAATGCAAAAACAGCCTAACTTTCAGCTTTTGAGTTACTCGGCAGTCCTACGGCCTGCATGCCTGCTTGTGTGCTCGGATAGCGATGGCAATGGCAGCCGCAGCGACAGCATCCTGCCAGGACACTTGCCACTTGTTCAGTCAGTGCGAGACGAGATCTCGTTGCTGATGGAAGTGTGTTTCCAGCTGCCACAGCTGCCGTGTGGATATACTGGACAAACAAACAAAAAAAGAACAAAAACTATATATAATTTATTTGCTTAGCTATTACTTTTATGTTAAACATTTGCAGAGGTGAAAATAACAAAGAAAGAAACAGCAAAAAAATAATAAATATAAGTGATGGTGATTGACTGTTTTATAGAAAAACTTATAATTTTTATAATCCAATAAAAAAAAAACAATTGAAGTGAATTTTTGTTACTTAAAATATGTACTGGTAGTGAACGCAAATTCGTAGTTAGTTTCTGTTAAATGTTGATTTGGTTTTTTAAACTCGCGAAAACTCAAATGGCTACGAAGTAGACGACGAGCAATAAAAAATATCTAATAGAGATAAATATGTGAAATTCCACAAGCTATCAGGTGTAAGTAGAATTTTGTTCAATACTTTTTGCATACAATATTTTTAAAATTTTTTATAAAAATAAAAATAACAAAAACTAAACAGAAAGATTTTCTAAAAAAATTAAACTTTTTATAATTTTTTCAAAACTTGCTAGGTGTAACACAAAAAAGCTAGATGATTTTCTACAAAAAAAAAAAAAAATATATTATTTTTTTTTTAACAAGCTTTCAGGTGTAAGAAGAATTCGGTTTTCATTATTTTGTGCATGAAATATTTTTAACATTTTTTATATAAAAAATAATAAAATTAAAAAAGAAAATCTTTTCATCACAAATAAAAATATTTATTACAACACGAAAAAAAATATTTTCTACAAAAAAGTATTTTTTACATTTTTCTTTCAAAATATAAATATATATATATTTTTTTTTTATATTATTCGCAAAATAATTTTAAGCTTGGTTAAAAAAAAATTATATATGTTAAAATACAGTACATTGAAAAATCCCTTTTTTTACTCAAAGACGAATTTCAGCCAAAGCGCCCTAATTTTCCAACCAGATTTTCTTGTGCTGTAAAATATTAGCCATACTCTTTACTTCTCATTAAAATGAGGCTGATATAATCTTCATAGGAATAATTAAAAATTGTATTTAGCCGATAGGTCCTTGTGACTGGTGGAGAATAATTCTCTATAAGAAAAAGGTCTCCACAGGCAAAAACTACAATTTTTAAAATATATTTTAGTATTTTTTAACGGATTAATTAAAAATAATCATTAAGCTAGGTTACTATTGAAAATTTAGGTCGTTTTCCTTGTTTACTGGAATGCTGCCCCAAATAAGACTTGTTAGATTTTTTTTAAATACGCGAAAACTTACATAAATGTGTATGAGGGAGACGACGAGCAACAAAAAATCTAATCTAATAGAAATAAATTTTTTATATTCGAAAATCTATCAGGCGTAAGTATTTTTTTATAATTTATTACAAAAATAATTTTTGCAATTTAATCAAAAAGATTTTTTTTTTTGTTTTTTAGAAAAAAACTATTTTTACAAAAATATTGATTTCTTATAAATAAATATTTTTATTGAGCTTTGTACCACGATTGTTTATTAGGAAAAATTGAAGCAACAAAGTCTGAGCGGTAGAAGTTATAGTAGCTATTTCGGAGATCACCACATTTCCTCATCAGACTTCTTTCAATCTGCCCGCTGAAACTGCTATAACTTCTATGGCTTAAACTTTGTTGCTTTTTCAATTTTTCCTATTAAACAATCGTGGTACAAAGCTCAATAAAAATATTAAAAACATTTTTTTTTGTATTGAATAGGAATATTTCACTGCTGAAACCCTCAACAAAATTATATTATGATGATGCTGGTTAAAAAAAAAAAAAATATTAAAAATCCGTTGAGCAGTTATTGCGTGATGCGGTTACGAACACATAAAATAACAAATTTTTAAAGGTATATAAGGTAAGGCGATAAGAATATGGGTTATGCAAAAATAGTTAGCACAACATCAAAGTTAAATATGCATCATATATTTATTTTTTGAAGACTTTTTAAAGGAAATATTCTTATTCGATCTAAAAGAATTTATTTTTAACTATTAGCTATTAACTATAAACTATTAATTATTAACTATTATTTTGACTATTAACTATAGCAATTCTATGAAAAATTTGTTTACTCCCATGTGAAATACATTGAAAATTTGAATGCGCCCACGGCGCCGTTAAATACATATTAACCGATTTAAAAATAAAAAAAAAATATTGGTAACTTTTTTATTCAATTTTATATAATTCTCGAAGCAGTAGATCTTTCTGTGCATTTTTGGACTACCCTAATGCACATATATACATATTTATGAAGATATGTATATAAACACTCATAACTTAATCTACTCACTCGCACTTCATAACACTTCAGTAGACAGTGCATTTGACAGTGGTCAAAAATTTGAAGAGGGATGCGTGTATTTGACAAGACTAGCAACTTTTTGGGTTATTGTTTTGCCAGAAATCCCTTTTATTGACAAATGCGGGCAGATTGTTTTACTATTACATTGTAGAAAGGATTAAGTGTGCTATAAATATTTAGTCTCCATTGAGGCAGAGGTTCTCTGTGAAAAAAGACATTTCCTTTTACCTGCAATGTAATGCCTCTACCCAGTATTATAGGCTGCACCAAATTGGAGTTAATCAGTACTGATTTAATATAACCATAAAACTTGTTTTAAAATGTTGACATTCAATTTCAAAGAGTTACCCAGTTCGTTTGAAGCTAATTTTAAATTTAGGATTTCTTAATTAAATTTTTTAAAGCAAAAGTATCCACCATTTTTTCCACACAAAATATAACTACATAAAAGCCCGTATGACGCTTTGAAAAAATAAAACAAAATCTATTGGCAAATATGAGCATAATCAAACATAATTCAATTTACAATCGCGGAATGAGCTTATATCAATATGTATGTATATAGAGTAGGGTGGTCAAATTTTTCGGACAAAAGTTTTTCGATAATCCTATAGTATTTGCTGTTTGCTTAGATAACTCTAAGAGAAAATGTAAAAGAAATTATAAGTCGGAAATGAGTTTCGAGCTAGCACATTTTTTTAAGAAAAATTTACTTTTCCTCAAAATTAAATTTTTTAACGAAGTGTTCACCTTTTGTTGCAACTAATAGATACAATATGCCCATATTTTAATTTATAATATTTTTAATTTATTCACCATCTAAAATCCGTGTTAAAATTATAAACGCATCACATTTTTACAAGTTTTACCAAATTTATTTTTTATCATTTAATTTTGTGCAAGGATATGTTTACTCTTTAACAAAAATAGTAAAAATCCAAGTTTTGCACTCTGTGGAGTATTAAAAAAACATTAGCAAACTTTCGTAAAAATTTAAAGCTTTTTATATAGATTTCTTAGAAACTTAAATAAAGTGCAAGTAGCTAAGACATACCGTCGATGTTTGGCATTTTTTTGTTTAAAAATCGTCTTGTATGGAAGACACCGTCAGCAAAAAAAAGGCAAACATCAACGATAAGTCCTAGAAGTCCTCATATCGAGTTTTTGTTGTTAAAATATAAAAGCCGATATATTTTACTATTTGTTACTCTTTTAAGTTTGAAATTCACAAAACAGATGTATTTACTTTTTAAAAATGGTATAAATAAATAAAGTAAATATAATAAACTTAAATACAGAGAGTTTTTACGCAAAAGTTTCAAGAAAAGGTGAAAAAATTAATATCGTGGAAAGGTAATTTTTCATTAAAAAATGCACAGACTCGATACTCGTTTCCGACCTATGGTTTCTACTAGAATCTTTCGTACAATTATCTGTAGAATCAGGAAATATCATGCGATTTATTAAAACAAAAATTTACCCAGCTTAATGTACAATGAGTAGCTATTCATATATTTATTTTCATACATAAATGAGTACTTAAATTTACATACATACACACAAACATACATACATACATATGCATAAGCGTACGTAGAAATATAAATATGAATACTTGTTTATAACATTTCGACGGCCTGCCTTTAACCTGCGCGAGTATTAAAATTAAATAGCCGGCGGTTATTTAAACAATATTTATGCTTTACGACTACGAAATAAATAAAAATTTGTTAAAAATCGATATTGAAAATGAAAAAGAATTCCATTATAAAAGTATCTGTGCCAATAAGGAATAGCTGCTAGAGAGGCTTTATTTTAATGCGTCATTCACTTTATTATCCAAATTGCAATGACTTTTTTAACTAAATATATTTGATGAGAATATTCAAAAAGAGTTGCTGTCATCAAAATTATGACTTCTACATTCATTTGTTAATCGTCTTTAAATGTCTAAGGGCCAGTTTTTCAGTGCATGGCTGTGGCTTAAATTTAGTTTAATCGCTGAAGCTGGCTGGTTTAAACTAAGATTAAGAAAACGGGGCCTAAGCCAGCAACCGAAAGCATAAACTACAAATGGTCGCTATACAGTGGGGCAAAACTGGGAACTTACCGTTCAAAATAGTCCAGAGCTTTAATTTTTCAACCGATCTACCAAGAGATCTGCATCAAAATGTTTAAAAGCCTCTCGGGGTAATCAAAATATTGTCCTTTTCTAGGCAATTTTTGGCCACTTTTTAAGCTGTTTTCGTGGAAATGTAAATATCGCAGCCATATCTTGATAAATTTTTGCTAAGTACCATGGAAAAGGTAATTGTGGAAACATTTTACCGAAATCTGTCTTTATTCGTGATCTAGGTGCTGTGAGAAGATTTTTTTTAATAAATGACTTAAGACAATAGAAAAATTGGCGCTTTAAAGATCTGCGTAACGGTTAAAGGTTTTAAAAAGAGCACGGAAATATTCCAAACGCACATATATTTTGATTTTCAGCAATTTTTAAAGGCATTTTTTCACTTAAATAATTTTGCCATTCCTTGACGGAATTTCGTGTACGAGCTATTATTATCGTTATCCAAAACATTAAAATAATTTACTAAAAAAGCTTACAATACAGCAAAAGCATCACCCATTACTACCTTGTAAATAAAATTCTTGTTATAAATGGCTGAGTTATGTATTCACCTTTTTGTAAAACTTACATTACAAAATTGTGTCAAAATATTTAATTGTTTTCAACTGTTTCGCAGAAATTTTCAAACATTTTTACTACTGTGTATATCGTTCATTTACTTCAATAGTGTCCTAATCCAAAAAATGCAAATATTGAGCCAGGCATGTAGAAATTATCGGTCCCTATTCTTCCATGTTGTGTAAATATTTCATATCTGTACCGATTACCAGTATCCAACTAGAACAAAATATGTATTATTTTTTATTAATATGAAAATTTCAAACTTTAAAGGCATTTTTCTCGGGTTTCGCTTTTTTGAGTTATGACACTATTCAAGTAAATGAACCAACATTTTTTTATCTTCTCGTAACATTTTCGGGAATACAAATTTTCAATATAATTTTTTCCAAAGTTTTTTTCATGAAAATGTAATTTTTTAGCTCTTGAATGACGCTGCATTGAGACGATTATAATTAGCTTTGCAAAGGAGAACTGGTTCTTCTTTTTATGGAGCATGTGCACTTTAGGATTACGATTACATTTTGACTACAGTAATCGTAATATTAAGATTTCAATTTCAGTAATTGTATTCATGAAAATTCGGATTACGATTACAGTAGTCGTAATCGTTAAATTTGTAGGATTACAATTAAAGTATTAGCAATCATGCATTTCATGATTATGATTACAGTACTCTAAAACTTAGCTTTTCTTAGAGCAAATATTGATTTTGATACACCAAAATGGTTCTAAGTTATGAATTCACGTATTTGTTTGGGATTGTCTTAATACTCTACACAGACTCGTGGTCGCAGTACATTCATTAAAGTTTGATTTTAATTTACATTATTAATTCGACTTTAACTCAATGCTACATACTTTTCAATGAAAGTTCGGCTAATTTCTAAATTTTTCTTAATTACGATTACATTAATTGTAATCACAATATTTTAAGGATTACAATTAAAGTGTTCGTAATCGTAATTTTCATGATTACAATTACTGTAATTGTAATTTTAAAATTTGTAGGATTACAATTATAGTATTCGTAATTATGTATTTCGTCATTATGAATACAGTGATCTTAGTCCTTAAATCTTTAATATTACAATTACTATAATCGTAATGGTAACATTTATGATTACAATTAAAGTAATCGTATTCGTATATAATTTAAGGAATACAATTAAGCAATCGTAATTGAAGTGTAATCGTAATCATTAAGTGCCCAGCTCGGGTACATACATTTGTATGATCAAATAGCAGCTAATCAATCTGTGAAGATTTGAATAAAAACAATTTACCGTTATTATTGTAAGTAGCTTTCACAACCATAAAATATTACCTAATTGCAATACATCCACAACCCTCCACCACTAACATCTCCTTTCATTTCTGCTCTTCACTAAATCATCCCACAGGAATTCAACGCTAAGCACAACCACCCACTCTGCCTAACGCCAAAGCCAACACCAGCAAAAACAATAGCAACCAATAACAATAATTGCAGCCAAAGCACAGCAGTCAGACAACACAAATAACCGTTCAACCACAGCAACCACAATTTCCTCAAAAATACGGTCAGCAAAAGTAAACGAGACGCTGCGATTATTCTTGCCCAACATCCTTGCCGCCCAACAAAATTCCAAAATAGGTAAGCATATTTATAAGTAAGAAAAGCGGCTTAATATAAAGTATAGGTAGAGAATGGCAGGCTACTACGGTTGATACTGCATACATTTTCAGACTAAACACAAATGTACCCACATAAATATGTATGTATGTATATTCTTATCTATGTAAATAAGTATGTATGCATATGAAGTTGCTTACTTCTCTGGTAGCAACAAAGTGTCTCCGGGGAAATACCCAAAACGGAGAATGAAAGTGAAATTTTTGTGGTAAATTGTGGTGGCAGGTGATGAGCGAGCGCTTAGAAGTGATTTTTGTTGCTTTTGGGAATCATTTAATAAATCAGCAGAATGCAACAGGTTGCTAGTAGCAATGGCAAGTTCAGGTTCGGTGAATTGAAAAAAGCAGCTTTTACATTTTACAGACATGCATAACATATGCAACAGAATTTTTGCCAAATTTGTGAAAGAACTGAAGATGAAAATAAAAAACAAAATTGCTAAATATTTTTAGCCATGTTTTGAAAAATTAAAAAAGAACAAAATTTGTTTCGATGAAGTCTGTGGTCTATTCTTAGAGACTTTGGATCGGAGAATTCAAATCTGAAGTTAGGGTATAAAACTATGCCCGTTTTTTATTCCTTCTAACCTTAAAAACAAACACGGTTGTTATATTATTGTAGCTCTTTCAGGTTAGGGAGAGAAGAGGCGGTCACTTTTTATTTTTGAGCTCAGAATCGGATTCAGAGAGAAGAATCTTATCAGAATTTATTGACCCCCTTCGATCTAGGAAAAATGCTTTTTTTTTTGCGATATTTCCGTCAATTATAGCGCCCCAATTTTTTTTTTACTTTTAGCTTGACGAAAATTGTCAATTGTTTTATATATACTCTAAGATGCTGAATCGGAATTAAAAAGTTGGTATCAGCTCATTTTTTAAGTTCTAACTTCAGAATCGTATTCAGTGGATGAAATTCTATAAAAAATTGGTAAGGCCGTTCTACGGGCGAAACATTTTTAATATTTTTTTTTTTTGTGTGAAGAAGTTACATATAGGGCTACCCATGATAAAAACATAACAAGGTAAAACCATTGAGAGACAATCTGACGTTTGCCAGAAATACAGTTTAAAAATTCAAATCTCAAACTCACACACACATTCTCATTTTCAATCTCAAAAACAACAATTTTGAACAATTTAATTTTTTTATCTTAAATTTTATATGATTTTAAAATGCTTGGAAACGTCAGAAAAAAATCATGGCCGATTGAGAGAATGAATTTACCTTGTAATGTTTTTATCATGAGGCTACCCACGTGTTGAGAAGTTTTGATTTTAATTTTCTTATTATTAATTGTTATTTTTTTATAAAAATATAGTTTAATCTTTTACAAATGCTCGTAAAAATAAAAGTTTCAAACTTTGAGCAATATTAAAAAAAAAGAAAATTTAACAAACTCGTAAAAATTTCGGACCATTTTAATTACATTACTTAGAAAAAATTTTGTACGTAATTTTGTAGCCCATTCAATATTAGAATAATAAATTGCAAGATTGAAGTAGCTAGGGCCTACCGTTGATTTTCGGCATTTTTTTATTTTTGTTGAAGTTGTCGCTCATTTATTTTTTGGCTAATCTTTTATTCCGAATCTCAGTTTTTTGGCTTTAATTAATTTAGTTTTGGTTTTAATTTAGCCTTATAAAACAATGAAGTATAAGGTCGATTAGGTAAGATTGAAATGGCTAAAAGAGCTGGCCCCCACTACAGATAGACCCATAGACACATAGGGAGATACCAGTCTCTTATGATGCTATGAGCTCTCTGGAGTATAAAGTACCTAGTTGACGCTATGTACTTTGTTAATATTTTAAAGAGTCAAGGGAATGCAGAGCCCAGTTAAGCATACTTAGTTTTGCATGAGAGTTGTCACATAAGAATCTGTTAAATGGGCTTTGCTTGTAAGCGGTTACCCAACGCAAGTCACTTAACATGTAGAATTCTGTTGGGTTTTGATTTTTACATAAAAATGGTATAGCAGTGCAAGTATGCATAACTGGGCTATTAAAACCATACACTCTCAAGTGCTGAATACATTTAAAACGACGAGCTACGGACCACAGCTTCCAATTTGTTATCTTCATTATCTCAACGTTTTGTCGATGGCGACATGATTTTTTTGAACGCGGCAGCGACATCATGAATTTGTATGAGTTTGACATAAAAGAAGAGGAAGAACCTTATCTGTCGCTGGAAAAATAGAAATAGATCTAATCTGGCCACAGCCACAAACGTCGCGTAGCTCTGTCGTCGCCAAAATAATTATCTACAAAAAAATACGTGGAAAAATAATTTGACAGCTGTGGTCCGTAGCTCGTCGTTTTCATTCAGGTTTATAAATGTAACAAGAAGAGGGACTGCACATTAGCTTTGTGGACATTTCAACTTTACACATAAGTTCAAGGTATCTTTCCTTAACAGAACCAACCGATGTTATTCCCAGGAAGGGGACTGCACAGGGATTCAGAGATACCAGGCCCTTTATCGTCTTACATGTAGCTTGTTAGGCGGAATTATTATACCTGGATGTAGAAGGAATCGCAAAATTATTGGGTAACGAGGAAGATTAGAGACAGATTAAGTTATTTTAGCTACAAATATCAACAAGTAGCACCGAAGCACGCCCTCATTTTACTAAAAAATGAATTAAGAATTGTTGCATGCTTGTAAAGAGCACATGTAGAGTAATGAAGCACTTAACGAACCTTGAAGTTGTTAACTCTGGAGAACAGAAAACCGCAGATCGCATTTAAGGCCACAGAGATAGAGATCTGTTTTACAATAGATTTTTTTTAGTCGCTCCCTGCTCGAAATATAATGTAATGTAAAGCGTCAATAGTTTCTTGATTATGTAAGCAAGCTTAACTATAGCGGCTGAAATTTCAAGTGCGGCTAGCTTAAAAACGTTGAACTTATCCAACACTTTTCCATAGCTTGTTATCTGCATACAACATAGTCTTCCGCCATACGCGTTTTCTACCTTTTTATTTAGTTAAACTACCGCTTTCTATTTATGTAAAACACATATTTTTCGTTGCACCTATTGCAGCCAATTTAAACTAATTATTACAAAACATTGAACTGTCCAATCGGAAGCAACACTAAATGAGCAGCTACTGGTATGGTGGTTGTCGCTTCCACGTCATAATTGATTGTCATCACAAGGCTGGGTGCGCGCCTCCAATGCCAAGGAACAAAACGATCGCATCGCAGATTGCCAGACGACTGACTTAAATATTTTATATTTTTATATTGGCTTGTTGGTCCATTTCATAGCGACAAAGTAAACAACAATAAAACAAACAATTTCATAAATGATCAGCAATCAGTAAGCGAGATCGAAAGGTACGAGTAAATTGGTGGAGGTAAAACAGATACATAAATGAAATGTGAAAAATAATGGCACCAAGCGGTGCATCTTTGAAATTAGCATATTTTGACTTTGAACACTAGGACTAAACTTTTGGATATTAAAGAAGAGGAAAATGCTTCGCATTATCTCTTCAATGTATGTTGAGGTAATTAAGTTAATTGTTGTTAAATCTAAGATTGGAAATGCGCTGCTTTGATTCGAAACTGCTGATGAATTTGTGAACCCATAAAGGCCAATGAACAAAGATATCAACTTTTGAAAAATATGTTTGCTTGTAAATAATTCAATTATGCATATGTAGAAAAAATGTAAATTAATATCAATTGGTTCGCTGTGTGACAAGTTGTCGTGCTTACAAATGGCAGCAAATGAAACTGGTGTTACTATGCATAGAAAGTGATACATAAACGCAGATATGTATGTAAGTATGGGCAAAAACTTACCCGGCAGGGAGACAGTCTGGCAATGCGTGTTTTCATCAAATTCTCACTGGTACGATACGACAGTAGCCTTGTGTGGAAGAGGGTTCCGCTTCTAACACTGTTAAGGATCAGCTATGAATACTCGTACTTAAACTGACTTGACTTGAGAAGATTCTCATAATGATTCTGATCAATGAGCCAAACACATAGTCGAACATAACTTCACCTGGATGTGTCTGCTGAATTTTGATCTCTATGTAAAGGTGACATTCGATTTACTGAGAGTGGAAGTGGAGGAAATAAGAGCAAAGAATTTGTAATTGTTGCTGGGAAAATAAATCGTGAAGTGCAACGAAGACTAAGTTTCAAAAGCCAAGTTGATATATGCAGTGCAATGCTAAGTATGCATAACTTAGCCTTTATTCACGAGTTCAGAAAAAAGTAAAAGGAAAATACAAAATGCATGATCGCTTACTTAACTTGACTTGACTTAACTTAACTTGACTTGACTTAACTTAACTTTACTTTACTCAACTTCACTGAACAGCTTCAAAAGCTATGTTGGTAAATGCAATGCAAAGCTAAGTATGCATAACTAAGCCTTTAGTAGAGAGTTAAAATCGGGGCGAATGATGTTGCGATTTTCCAAATAGAGAAAAATTAGTATGAAGATAGGTTGAAACATAAATTTAAAAAAAAAGTAATAAACAGGTAATGTTTAAGCAAAAAACACAACCGACTTCAATTCTCATATAAAAATTTAGGAGTACCGTTAATTTCTTCATGGTCCAATGATCGGATCTAAACTAAATTAGTATGGGGCCACCTCGGAGACACTACCTTTTCTATAAAAAAATAATTATCGAATCGGTTGACATAGTCCAAAGTTATGCGGCAATATACATAAAAAAATATGTCGACGAATTAATAACCTTCTTATTTTTTTGAAGTCGGTTAATAAAAAAAGTCCCAAGATCAAACAATTGGCTATGTTAGCACGTAAAAAGTGTATTTGTCAGTTATGCATACTTAACTTGGCTTGCATTAATTTATTTCACTTAACTTAACTTAACCTCTTCAAAAGCTGTGTTGGTAAATGCTATGCAATGCTAAGTATGCATAACTGAGCTTTTAGCAAGGACTTAAAGCCGGGTGGATGATATTGTGAC